AAGTCCACTGAAGTTGTTAACCCAGGTAACCAATGGGGGGAACTGATATGTTCCCTTCCCTTGCAGGCAGATTTGGCTTCAGGTGAATGAGGAGATTGGAGACAAAGGTGCCTGGTCTCTGGGCATTAGACCGAGATGAAAAGGAATGGGAGAAAGCATACCCACTGGGGAGCAAGGCAAGCAGTATGGGGTTGTCAGAACCTGGGTACTTCCTGGCTTGTCTGGTCAGGAATTCTGTAGAATATTTTCACTAAGAGATCATTTCTGTTTTTCCATCCACAGATGCAGATCAGCAATTTATTAATAGGTAACTTATAGACTTAGAAAATTGCCTTCTAGTTGGTTTCTCTGCCTTAAATCTCTCCCTGCTCTAATCCATCAATTCACTCACAGCCAAAGTGATTTCCATGAAATGCAGGTCTGACTACATCATGCTTTGCCCCCCTATTCAAAAAATCCCAGTGTCTCCCTGTTTTCTCCAGGATCAGATATGAAGTTCTCTACTTGACATGTTCAAAACCCAACTTCCTCCTACTTTTCCAATCTTTTTACACATTTCTGTCCACCATATAGTCTAGAATCTACTGGCCTAACTTTCACTTCATCTCTTGCTTCATGCCTGGAATTTTCTCTCAACTGACCTCTGCCTCTTAGTTTCCCTGGTTTCATTCAAAACAGCTCAAATCACACCTTTTGCAGTGGGCCTTTCCTGATTGCCCAGCTGACAGTGTCTTCCTGTCTGAGATTACTTTCCATCCATTTTGTGTTTATCTTTTACTTACCTAGTTATTTAAATGTGCTAGTGTTCTAGCACACTAGAATACGTGCTCCTTAAAGGCAGGGATCATTTGTTTTTTTGCCTTTCTTTGTATCTCCATCATTTACCACAGCGCCTGGCACATAATAAGCACTTAATGAATGCTTGTTTACTGATTATCTGACAGTGCAGTTGATGTTTTGTATGAAATTGCAGTGCCCAAATAACTCACTATTATAGAATGGATTATGTCATACAAAGAGCTTTTCTCATAGGAGCCCCCTTAAATATAGGTAGTGCAAATGTTATTTAACAGATGAGGAAACTGAAGCTCACAAAGATTTATAGCAGAATAGAGTTAGATCTGGAAGGGACCTTTAAGACTAATTTAAAAAAACAGGCCTAGAGAGGTTGTGACTTATCTAAGATCACACAGTAGTAAATGCTAGACTACCTACAACCCTGGTCCTCTTATTACAAATGCATCCCCATTTCCAATGCATCACGAAGTTAAATAATCTGCTGAAGGTCACTCAATATTGTTTAAAGTAACTGACTGGCTCCCCTTCGACTACAAAGAGCTGAGGAGGTAGACAAAAATTTAGTGGGATAAGCCAACAGTTGCTATTTGGACAGAAGATAGAAGCAGTGCACTTGGAATCATTGATATTAATGTGCAATGAATTGGTGCTCTCATGACTAGTACTGACACCCTAGTGCGAATCTGTGATGCATGTATACATCATATATGAATACATGTATGTATATATAAATGTGTGTATTTATATTTGAGTACTACAATGGATCTATGTTCTCATTAATGTGTGTTCCCTCTAAAAATGCAGATCATATTCAATCTATACCTGTCCATCCTGTGTACCCCTAGTCCAAGTCCTTCCATAATTTTCTATCAGGATCCACCATTCTTGCTCTCTGCTGAGAGGACACTAAAGGAGCACACAGGCTGTCAGTTGTCCTTCCTTGTCAGATGACCAGCTCATCATTTTGATCATGCATTTCTTTGATGACATCTTTTATAGTACAGTGTGAATGTGTTTACCCTTGTTTTACCTTTTTTTTCCCCTAATAGTTCTTCCCCCCTCCTTATTTTCTTTTTTTTTTCTTTTTAGGCAATTGGGGTTAAGTGACTTGCACAGGGTCACACAGCTAGTAACTGTCAAGCGTTTTGGTTTGAGGCCACATTTGGACTCAGGTCCTCCTGACGTCAGGGCCGGTGCTTTATCTACTACAAGACCTAGCTGCCCCTAATTGTTTGTATATAGCTGGTAACCTGGGCACTGAGCTCAGATTTGCTTAATCTAATTGTCTTCATAGCATCTTGAAATCCTGAACCGTATTTTGAGACACTTTCTAAATTATGCTTTTTTTAAGGGGAAAATTAGATATGTTTTCAAAAGAGACGCTTTCGTGATCTGAGGAATGGTTTTAAATCATCTTGAGTTTTCTGAAGCAGGAACAGAAGTTTATCACATTCCTTAATAAAATTTATGGAGGGAGATTAGACTAATTGTGGTGCTGGAGAAGCCTTTTGATAGTCCCTCGGACAACAAGAGATCAAATCAGTCAATACTTAAAGAAATGAACGGTGACTATTCATGGAAAGGAAAATACTGAAGCTTAAATACTTTGGCAACTTAATGAGAAGATCAAACTCACTGGAAAAGAATGAAGGCAAAAGAAAAGAGAATGAGATGGGTAGATGGTGTCATGGAGTACCGTACATGAGCTTGGACAGACTTCAGGAGATAGTGGAGGATAGAAGGGCCTGGCATACTATGGTCCATGGGGAAACAAAGAGTCAGACATTACTGAATGACTGAACAACAACAATAAGCATTGTAGGAGAAAGTAAGTGTCGGGACTTTACCCAGTGAAAGCAGGAAACTAACCAAAAAAAAAAAAAAGACCAGCACACATAGACTCCCTAAGAACTACTACAAAAACTACAAATGTAATTTTAAACTATAGTTCTTATAAACTGCTGTCCAAAGGGAATATGATTTTGTGTGTTTTTAAATTTCTACAAAATTGTAAACTAATGGTATTTTTTGTTAAGGAAGAATTTTGTCATTCAGCTATATACTGTAGGAAAGCATTAAGATCTTGAAAATGTTGATATCTCAGACCCTCAAATGTCTTATTTATAAATCAATCAATATTTATTAATTTTTAATATTTTATATTTAATAATACTATGTGCCAGGCACTGTGCTAATTGCTAGGGATACAAAAAGAAGCAAAGTCTTTGCCCTCAAGGACCTTACAATCTAAAGGGGGTGGGGAACAACATACAAACAAATACATACAAAGCAAGCTATATACAAGATAAACATCATTATTATGAAAATAAGTTTGGCCTTATGAACCTCCAGAAAGGTCTCTCCTCCCACTCCCCAGGGGTTCCACTGGACCACCCCTTACTTTGAGGAACTCTCCCAGGTGAGGAAACTCAGGTCCTTGTCTTTGGTTTAATTTACAGTTTTAGAGATTGCCTAAGACACTTCAGAGATCACCAGTTTGTATAGTAAAGAAAAACATTTTAAATTGTATCAATTGTATTGGCTTTTTTTTAAGATTAATGTGTTTTATACCTGTTAATCTTCTTAAAGTTCTGTAAACTGATCAGACATTTATTAAATGCCTGCAATGTGAAAGGTATGGTGCTAGGGAGAATAAAAAAATTTAGAAAAGATGACGCTGTCACAGAGCTTACAGGAAGACAAACCTAGATAACCAGCACAAACAATAAAATGAGCATTAGAGTGAAGGTTGTTATGCAAAGAGAAGCTTCTGGGCGGGATTCTCCAAGGAGGTGACTTTTAAATGCGGCTCTCAATTCCTGGATAGGAATGCGGGAGTGGGAGGTAGTAGTGGAGGTGGAATGGAGGATGGGGAGGACTTTCAAGCATACCTAAAGATTGTCCTATAGGTAGATGAATCAATACAGTTAGCATTTGATGGAATGAAAAAAAAATGCGCACAAGGAGGTTCTGGCATTCCAAAGGTCGCACAAACTCTTAGGTGCAACCAGATTTTCTTTACTATAACTTAATGAAATGTCAGGATTCTTTGGATCACCACACCTGGTGAGCTATTTATGACATTACTGTTCATATTTCATAAATATTATTACACCTGAAAACTTGGTGCACCCATGAATTTTAAAGCTATTTTAGTGGTATACATAAAAATATTCTGATTAGGAAGCATCATAAAAAAAGTTTAGATCAAGTGGAATTTCTAGGATCTCGAATTCACCAGAGATTTTAAGCTAAGAATGAAGAGACAGGGATATAAAGTTTAGTCTAAATTGACATAGGTATTAGGAGGCTTGGGCATTTTCTCTTTAAACAATAAAGCAAATTACCTAAAACTGAAAGTATAAAAAACTACTTAAGGTTTTATTTTCAAGCTAATGAGTAACTGGTCTAAGTTGAATGGTTGCAATTAAAAATTCTTACTTTTTGAAGCATATGTTTAGCCCTAATATGTTAATTCCTAAAGAGGAAGGGAAATGTGTTCTTTTTTTTCTCCCTTTTCTCTTCTCCTTTGTGGCTTAAGTCACATAACTGAAAGGATTTTATTCATTTTTTCCAAAACACTTCATATGTGAGTGGAAGCCAAACATGGAAAGTTTCAGGCGGAAAAAAAACCCCATTAAACTGAAAAATGTGCCATTTGGGAAAGGTATCATGGTCCTCTTGACGGGACTGCTCTGGCTGTTTAAATGCATTTCCTCATTGCTACATCAGATAGCTGGGGGTCCCGATGCAAGCCTGGCTGCATCCAAAGCTCAATCCACCCTAATTCCCAGCTGCCCTCCAGTTTCCCCTGCTCTACTGCCAAGAACTCTGGGCCCATCAGTTTCCCCCAGTTTAAGGCCCCAAAGTCAAAAACCTTCCTGCCGCCCACGCCGCTTTTCATAGTTTAGGCTGCAATCTGCAAGAATGCCTGGATCTCCCAGTTACCGAGACTAGGGGGACCGATGTACCTCTAGGAGCCTGGGGCACGCGAGAAGGGTCAAAAGCCCAGGACCCAGACCCAGACCCAGACCCAGACCCTCCCTCTCTTCCTACGTCACTTTAATTCCTCATTTCCCCCCCCTCCACCTGCCACCCTCAAACAGCGGGCGTCAAGAGAAATTTGACTGCTTCATCCGCCAATCAGAAGAGAAGTCTGTCCCGTGAGCCAATAAGAATGGGCGTGACGGGCAGGCCGTCTCGGCTTCCCGCCTCTGGGTGGGCGAGAGCGGAATGTCTCCGTCCCTCCCCTCTGCTCAGGGCCTCAGTGCAGAACCGTCGGCGGTCGGAGCAGCAGCAGCAGCAGTAGTAGCCGTCACTTGGGCTAGGATCCTCGCCACGCCGCCTCCTTCCTCCCATTCTCCACCCCAGCTCCAAAGCCCATAAGGCCTCCGTCACTCCCGCGTCCCAAGAGCCTTCCTGAGGAACCGCTGACCCAGCGCATCCTTCCTTCTCTAGTCGGCGGCGCCGAGAGAAGCCCCGGGTGGGGGTGGTTACTGCGGGGGTGAGCGAAGGTTAGCGGCCGGCATGATGCGGCTCCGAGGCTCCGCGATGCTGCGGGAGCTGCTGCTGCTGCATCCGCCCGCCGCCGGGGCGGCTCTGAGACGGGGACAGCCCCTTACCACCTTGTGCCGGCGCCCCCGAGGCGGGGGCCGGGCTTCCGCCGCCGCCCGAGAGTTGTTCCCCTGGCGGGGTGGAGGCGCCCGCCGGCCCGCTACGCCTCTGGCACGGGGGCTGTCGAGCTCCCACTCGGAAATCCTGCAGGAGCTGGGCAAAGGGAGCGCCCAGCCCCAGCCAACGCAGATGCAGCCGCCTTCGCCGACCCCCCCTAAGGACGGCTCCGGCGAGGCCAACGCCTATGGCAACAGCGAGGGGAAGGAGCCGGCAGGGGGAGAAAAGTGAGTCGCTTCCTCTAGCCGGGCCGAGGAGAAGGAGGCCTCTCCCTCCTCCTGGACTTGGGCTGGGGAGTGGCCGGGGCTGGGATGGAGCTCGAGGCTTCGAGGAGGGGAGGGAGGGAGGGAAGGGGGGGGAGAAGATGCCGGCTCCGCTGGCCCTGCTCGGCGTTAAGTGCGCCATGTGATTAGGCCCGGGCCCCGCCCACCACCCCGCGGGCCTCGAAGCTGCTTGCACTGCCTCCTCTTCCTCCTCCGCGCGAGATGCTTGCGCGCCCCTCCTCGGGCCTGGGCCCCCAGGTGCTGGTGGGGGGGGCGCTGGAGCCGGCGGCGGGGGCCACGCTGCCCGCGGCCGAGCACGGGTCTGCCCCCGCCCCCATCCCCATGCGTCCGGCTACCCGGCGCCTCCTCGGGATGATCCCCACGTGAACCTCCAGTGATGGGGGGGAGGGGGAAGGAATGATGGTTGGAGCCTCGCAGCCCGTATTTTCCTGATTTGTCACACCTTTTAAAGAGGTCGTCTCCTTCCATTTCCTCCCTCTTTCCCACTCCTTTTCTCTTTTTGTCCCTCTCCCCTCCTCCCCTTCTCTTTCTAATTCTCTCCTATTCCTTTTCCCTCTCTCCTTTTTCTCTCACTACCTCTCCCATTTTGTCTGTCTCCTTCCCCTTCTTTCTCCTCTCCCTCCTCTTTTTGTCCCTCTTTCCTCTCCCTTCCCCCCTCTGCATCTCTCCTTTTTTCTCTTACTCCCTCTTTTCTTTCTTTTCCTCCGTCTCTTCCTCCCTCCCCTTCTATATCTCTTCTTTCCCCTTCCCCATCTCCTTCCCCTCTCCCCCCCTTTCCCTGTCTCCTCCCCACCTTTACTTGTCTCTTTCCCCTTCCACTTCCCTGTCTCTTTCTCCCTCCTCTTCTCTGTCTCCTACCTCCCCTTCTGTTTCTCTTCTATCTTTCTGTCCTTCCCTTGGACCTTGTCACCCCATTCCCTTGGAAACCTTATATTTCAAAGTAATAGTGGGATCTTAGGAGTCTCCTTTACTTAGGTGCAGATTATCTAGGAAACCAGATTATGAGGAAGACGCCCCTGTGTCCCTGAGGATGGCATAAATTCCTTGCTCCCACTCACAAGCTGCTTTGGCTTGACCCTGATGTATTCTTTAATACTCTCTGAAGAAACAGTCAAGAGAGGCAAACGAAAATATTTTTTAAAAGTTAATAGTGATAATTTCTGAGGAATGTACTACTATGCAGAACCATTAGTGGCATCTGAACAGGAAACCAAATTATGAGGAAAAGGGTCTTGTAGACCAGAGGATGGCGTATAAGCCACACACTCCCACCCAAAAGCAGTTTTGGGTAGTCCCTGTTGTATTCTGTAGGATGTGTTCATATCTCTTAAGCAGTCAAGAGAGCCAAACTGAAATAGGACAAAACCGGTTAACTTGATGAAAAGAAATATTCACTCAAGCCATATGTTAATAATAGAATATTTTTTAAAATTAGAAATGTGTTCAATTTCAACAAGCATTTTGTTAGAGGTGTGAATTTTGCGTATTGAATACCTAATAAACCCTTCTTGTAAAAATCTCAATGGACAAAATGTAAAATGGGTTCTAAACTGCCTCCTCTGGTTTTTGCCTGAGTATGTGATCTCTGGTACTCTCCTACTTCAGCTCTTCTTACTATCCTCCTCTCGATAGAGTAGTGCTGCAGGGAGCTTGGCTTTTACAGTAGTAGATTGTTTGCTGCTGTCGTAGTTATAGTAGCTCTTGAAATCTTCCCAAATGGTTCCTTGACTTGTGCATGTTTTCCTTACCCTCCCCTAATTGTTTTCCAGAATGGAAAATATAACTTTTTAAAAATTATTTTTGTAAAAGCTTTACAATTCTACACCTTCGGGTTTTTTGGGTTTTTTTGGCCATTCTTGGGGGGGGAGAGAGAGAGAGAGAGAGAGAGAGAGTGTGTGTGTGTGTGTGTGTGTATACACAAAACCAAAAGTATTATTGTAATAGCATGTTTACTTCCTAGAATTGAGCTATGCTGTTTTATGATTTAGGCAATTTACCTTTTTAGAGGCAAGCAATCCAGAACTACATTGATTGAAAGTAATTACATTGTTTCCCTATGAATACCATTTTTTCCCTATGAATGACCTCAAGATGAAAATAGTAGGGAACCTCTATCTTTTTTATTCAATCTAGCCGGTGAGACAATTATCAACAGATAACTAGTTGCAAAAATACAACAGCTTTTCGGTATTTGATAGTAGTGTTCAAAAAAAAGCCACAAGATGGGGATGTTAATACACAGACTTAGATGCAGTCTCTCTGTCTTTTTTTTTATTCTTTTTCTCTAAACTATACATAAGTGCACATATCATACACATACACACACGCTATCCTTGTGTGTATTTATGTAATAGGATTTAAATCATTAGCCATCTAATGTGTAAGTCAGTTAAATTTTATGATGCTATCCACCAAATCTTTTTTACTTTGGTGATTCTTTGTTGATATTACCTTTTCTTCCTTCTGACCTGCTTTTCCCCCTACCTGCACCCCTTCTCTGCCTTACCTTTCATTGGGGAGGAAACAGGCTTCCTTACCTTGTATGGGAAGGATCCATAATGGAGTCCTTTGACTTGAATTTGTGAAATATGGTTAGTAATTTGGTGTTTTCTGTTCCAAATGCATTCAATCTATGTTAATCTTTATTTACCAGGAAGATTGAAAAGACATTTTAACCTCAGTTGCTTTTTTTTTTTGTCTAGGCAATAGGGTTAAGTGACTTGCCCAGGGTCACACAGCTAGTTAAGTGTCTGAGGCCTTATTTGAACTCAGGTCCTTCTGAATTCGGGGTGCTGCTCTATCCACTGCACCACCTAGCTGCCCCCTTAACCTCAGTTTCTGATGGATGAGTGCATTTATAAAATAGAATGTGCTCTGTTGTTAAATAACCATCTTTTTTACTGATAATGGGTCTAAGAATAGTTACCTTTAGTTCTATAGATCCAAGAGTAGAATTTGAAAAATGCACATTACTAAAGCCAAGAGTTCAAGATCAGGTATTCACAACATAAATGGAAATAAAAAGAAAAATTTGATGCTTTGTTCAAAATAAGCCGAAGTTCTTTCTAAAATTACAGTTTTGCTGAATAAGACAGCTTCCCAAAGCTCTGCTGCAGCATCTATGAGGAAAAGAGGCCAGAATGTATTAATTAGCTAGAAGCAGATGAAGAGAAGGTAGCCAAACTTGTGAGTGAAAAGGACAGATTACTTTCTGTTTAGTCCTTGGTAACTGTAGAGAAGGTAGAATTAATACTTTGTTATTACAGAGTAAACTTGAAAAAAAATCAAAGCCTTAGGGACTATTAACGTTCTTGCCATATTATAGAATCAGTTTTTGTCTAAAAAAATGGATTCCCGTCTTCTCTTTAATTTATATGTTACCCAGAAGCTTCTCTATGCCTGGAATTCATAATAAAAACTACAAATTTATCTGTGGCCATCTTTGAATGTGCTGTTTGGGTTTTGTTTGTTTTTTCATTGACAGCCCTTTTATTTTGAACTTAAGTACTGGCCGTTTGCTTTTAAACTCTGGTACCTTGAATAACTTAAGGGTAGATTTAAAAAAAATTTTTTTTAAGGAGCCTGTTGTTTGAGAGTCAGGGATAAAGGCACAAAGTCTTCTCCGTAGAGAAACAAATGAACAAGCACATGGAAATGGAGAATTCATGAACTCATAAGATTTTAGAGCTAGAAGGATACCTTAGAAATAAATCTAGTCCAACTTCTTTTATAGATAAGAAACTGAGATCCATGAGATGTGACTTGTCTGAGATCACCATGTATAGTAAGTAGCAGAGCTGGGGTTGGGACTCAGACCATTTAGCTTCCATTCTACTGCTGCACTTCATGTGATCATGATAAACTGTCTGGTTCCCGATTGTTGCTTTTGTTGTAACGTTTATCATCTCAGCTTCCCTAGGGCAGACAGTTGTGTTTTCTTCATTTATTTCTTCCACTATGCCTAGCAAAATATTTGTTTCACTCTGAGCACTTAAATCCCTAATGAATGCTCTGCTTATACATTATGAGCCTCTTTAGATTTTTAAAAAATAATCAATTACATTTTGAAGTATCTAAGTTGAAGGTATTACAGGTTGGTATTGTGAAAAGACTGATTTGTGTTGGCAAGGGGCCTGAGCTCAAATCCTGGCTCTGCAACTTTGTCCTTTGTCCTTGTTTATTCTTGGGCAGGTTACTTCTCTGGGCCTCAGTTTCTTCATCTGTAATGTTAGAGGATTGCACTAAATGAATCTAAGGTCCTTTCAAGTTATACATTTATGAGCCTTTGAATTACTGCAACATACTACAAGTAGGGCTGACCTTGAAAATGAGTCACACTATTCAACTATTTTTTTGCACTGCAAAAAATACTCATGCATCATATGCTTTCATTGCATGGTACACTCAGTAATTGGATGTTTTTAAGTTGGATCATTCCTCACTTTGCACTGACTACCGATTTCGATTTGGAAGTCAGATCAAGGTGGTAACCATTGCACAGATTTAATATTTAATTACTTTAGAGATGACCTCTTTCCCTAAGAATTATCACCATAGTAAAGATTAGGAGACTCCTGATGTGTCTTACCCTCTGGGGTAATTCCACATTTATTTCCATGAGTGTCCTTGCCCTTAAAAGTTGTATCTTTAAAAAGTTTACTCAATTGGTTAGAGCATAATATTGCTAGCAAGATCCAAGGTATCACGTTTAGTCCTGAAGAATTTAGTTGGCTTCACACGGAAAATTTGCATCATTGCAGACTACCATATATGCTAGATAGCGTCTTACAAATGTGTGCCCTTGGTGTCATTTGAAGGAACCAATGTGAAAATGTGGAAGTTTGAAACTTGAAAAAAAGCATAATAGCTCCTCTATGTAAAGAACTATCAGTGTGGTTCATATCATATGCTGTAGCTAACACAGCATACATTATAAGTTGTCA